AACAGATTTTGACAGCAGTTGCAGGGTTAAGTTACTATTGTCTTATACTCTTCCTAATGCGTATATAGTTTCAATAAATTTATTTTTTAACATCGTCTGGAAAATCAGGATATTAAATGGATACCTTGCTGGTCTACTCAATATAAAAAAGACTGACAGACAAGAAGACTGACTAGGACCCGTAAGAAGCACAGTATATTAAAATAGGTACTGAGATACCGCCCACTACTCTAACACTTTTGTGGTAAAACGAACTTTGTAATCACTCAGTCATTAAAAACAACATAAAGAAATATACGATTTAAATTACAGTAATAAACATGTACCTTCTATGTTTTGCGTTTTAAACAATTAACTGTGAGTTTACGCGAGTATTACACATTTAAATAAAACGCTTTTAAGGGTTCAAAACGCGAAATGTATTAGTTCAACTCAATTGCCAATTATTTTAACGGCCGGACGTTTCGGACGCTTTGTAAGAGCCGTGGGCATGGGGAGACGGTCTTTAGCAATGTCGGGCCGTAACCGATTTAACTATTCGCATTTTAAACCGTTGAATGTTTTTTTATTTAAATGTACTACGCGTGTAAACTACAGACAACATAATTTTAATTGTTTAGAACTCAAAACACATACATTTTATTTAAATTAAAATGGTTTTATTTAAATGTGTACAACTCGTGTGAGCTAAAGACAATACAGTATTTTTACACTTTTGAAACTCTAATAAAAATTGTAAAATTTTTAGTTATGGATACCCCATGAGGTCACTACCAAACAATAGCCGGTCGGCCAGCTGACACCCAACTTTACGACTTGTATCTTATTTGAACTTTAATATAAGTTATTAGTGTACGTTGTAACATTTCGTAAATATTAACTTTAGTTTACGGACGATAATTTAGAAATTATCTAGGTAGACCTACAATTGTTTCTACTCCCATTGTATAAATTAGAAAACGATTAACGACACGGGCAGGACTGGAACTGTCATTCACGGCGTCACTATTGCTCTAACGGCTAACCAATAGAGTTACCGTGTTCCGGCCGTTCAAGTACTCGTGTCGTAAAATTTTCTCAAACTAAAATCTATTTTTAATCAATTCCATCAAGTGAAAAATATTAAAGTTTTCAAAGACTACTGAGTTTTTCGTTTAATTGATCCAATATCACGTTTCTTAAGCATCCCAAAACATAGAAATGATTTTTCAACAAGGTTTACATATACATAGTGCTGCGTTACGTAGTGCATTACAGCGCCAGGCCATATGGCTACAGATTCCTTTATATCTTAAGTTATTTCTATTCTGCTCTGAGACGCCTCTAATTTTATATATGTATTAATTATTCCTATTAAAAATTGAATTACAAGATTGTCGTAGGTTTAAGTCAATGAAAATTTAATCTTATTTTGTTTTTAGATAAGACTAAATTCTTATTAAATTGTGGTCACTGTACCACCGCGCTGTTAAGGTCAATAACACAAGCATTAACAATGTACAGGAAATTGTATTTTTTTTTAATGATACATACGCACCAAACTTACATAATTTTCAAGACATAAAAAAACAAATTCTGCCGGGTCATACAGTCATATCTGGGCTGAACATCCTGGCTGGCTAATAACATATTTAACGGGCTCGTTGGTGGAACGATAACAACACATGGCTTATAACCAACGGGTCACGGGTTCGTCCCCCACTGTTTCAAACTTTTTTCTAATCAATTTAGAATTTTCCTGAAATATATAGTACTTCGTGAGGAGGTTGCATATTGATGGGTGATAGGAATATGGAAATTCCGCCCGCGTCACAAACCACTGTCCACAGATGAAAAAGTTTAATCGCATTTCGGCTTCAGTCTGTGGATCTGAAAATTCAAAGGTAAAATAGTTCGACAGATCATTTTATTTAAAAGTTAACGAGTGGGGTAGTTCTCCTATCAAAGGAGGGTTCATTTGTTTTTAAATCATGCATGTCTGTCTCAGTTATAAAAAAGTTAGTTGTTAAATTAATATTAAGAAACTATTAATGATTCACATTTAATTAAAACGCTTTTTGAAAACTTTAATATTTTTCACACGTAAAATCTAAATCGATTTTAGATTTAAAAAAAAACTCACGATTGGTTAGAGTAACAGCACGGAGCGTAGTGGATGCTCGTGTCGTATTTTTTTTCAATCTAAAACCAAATTTTTAAAACACTTTTAACAATTCAAAATTCGAAGTTCATTACTAAAATGTTAACAAATACCCAATGACAAAATTGTTTGTTATTTCAAACTTTAAATAAAATTTCATAGTCTGAGATCACATTTGTTAAACATTTATTTTGGGTATCAACCCTTCCATAAGGTAAGGGTTGGTTTCTTAGTTCAAGAAACTCGGGTTCTATGTTTAACATGAACCCATCATGTTTAACTCGAATCATAACCCATGGTTGTGATAGATGTTTATTAAAATAGAATACTTAAAACATCTTTTAAATATTAATATTTTTTCATAAATTATCATTAAATAATTTAGCAATAATATACTTCACTATAACTGTACAAATATTGTTTTTCTCTTTTATTTAAGAACTTGAATATAAACGTATTTCGAGAAGCTAGCTTAGTTTATTTACTTATATCTGTGCGATGGTTTACTTAACAGATTATTTATGATTACATTTTAATTAAAATAAGTTTTTCTTCAACAGAATTATCTAAACTAGAACCCTTTTACTTTGACAAGAACCCGGTTTGAATCTCGGTAATAACAAAAGACGCAACCCACTTTTACAATTGAACTCACCAAAATTTCCTTTTTTTTTAAATACAATTTTAGATATTAACAAAAACCGTATATAGACGTTTACTTATTACATGTATAAAACGTAATAACTAGATACTTTTAATTCTTTTAGCTACTAAACTAAATTAGACCCAAATAAAACACTTATAACGGTTTAAAACGGGAATTGACCCGTTAAAAGGGTTTTATTCAAATTTGTACTACACGCGACTATAAACAGTACTAGACTATATTGTAGAGTAGCAAAAATGTATATCTATAATTTTATTAAAATGAAAGGCAAGTAAATTTGTAAGCAAACTCAGTCAAACAGTAATTAGTGCAGTCACTGACTTCAAAGTATTTTGCATGATAAGCACCGCCTTCGGCCGTCATCGAAGCCGCGGACCATGACTTAAAAACCGTCGACTCCCATCGCCACGCCCGACGATTCTATCATTGTTTATGTATTGATGATTTGGAGAGACGTAGATTAATTTTTTCATTGGTTTTGAAACAGCTGTCATTTATTTTTATTTCCGGGCAGGGCAGTCTAATCAACTTGTGTTAAATCAATCAGTGAAACACACCTACATATAAATGTATTCGCCCCATGGCCCAAGCAAACGGGAATACGATTATTGCATTTCAAATTGTTATCTTAAGGAATGTTTGTTAATTATTGTTTCTCTATAAAAAACGTAATTTATATATTTTTTTAGTATCTTGGTTTCTGATTATTACAAGTCTTATTCGCGTAATTGAAATAGTGCGGCTGAAAATGGAACTAGTTAATTTTACTTCCATTTTCATATATTATTATATATATTCTAGGCTCAATAAATCATAGTATTATTGTAAAATTCTATCCTACCTTGATTATATCTAACACTATTTAACGAGACCAAATGGCTGAGTTAAAGTTAAATTTTAACCGTCGATAATACAATTAACGTTTTAAACTGTTTAAACTATAACTTTATGTGTACCTTGCATTATTCCTGCTACAAATTTATACTATAGATCATTCTAAACAGTCGATTAATATTTTTTAGAAATATAGGAACTATTTTAGACTCACACATATAATATGAATCATTCATGACATAATACCGTGAATAAGCTTATAACCTATAACTAACGGGTTAATTATTTTATTATTAATGCATTTTTATGCAAAGCAGTCTTTAAATCAAAAAAAAATACCTAATAATCTATATAGTATAACTGATAATTCGAATTACCATAAGACGTCGTTTGAATAATGTTATTTCGTAGCGTAGTGCCATCTATTGGGGGGTAGCTACGCGCGTCAAAGTCATTCTTGGAAAGGGTTGAAATAAATAGTCTTTGATAATAACCTCATATTTATTTCAAATAATAATCGGATTTTTATAAACGCCACCATCTGTAAAATTTTACATTTATTAGTAACTAGTTAAGCAAATAATAAGTACTAACAATAATACGTTAATACGAACTATATGTGACGGTACCTAGAACGTATCAAGTTCACTCAGTGGGTGTTACTGTGTAAACACATTTTTTCCGCGGTTAGGTAAAAAGAGTACAAAGCGTTTAAAAAAGGTCGTTGGCTAAGACCCCATAATCTAAGCCCCGCCTGTACGTGAAAAAAATTAAATAGCCCGAGAGGCGGAACGGAAAGAAAGGCTAAAAAATACGCGAAACAACCCCATCCGTTTAGCCCGAGTGCGAGCGAGAGGACGCAAGAAAAAAATCACAAAGAAACCCATTCTTTTCTATTTCCTCCCTTACTAATAGCGGCTTAGAAAAAATGATCGTGCGTCTCGTTCTAACGCGAGGGTGCGAAACAGGGGTCGTGCGAGCGAGAGGGTACGCCGGCGCTCTTTTTGATAGTTCTTATTTCGGCCGAGGTCCGAGCGGGGGTGTCGTGCTCCGCGTCGCGTCTTTTCCTTGACCGGACGCATTTTTCCGCGGAAAAAACTCTGGGCGCAGGCGCCCGACGACGGAGGGGATGTTCTTTAGTTCGTCTAAGGCGGGGGCGGCGCGTCTTGTTAGTTGGAGCGGCGTCTTCCCGGGGCGCGCGCGTCCCCCGCCCCGCAAGAAACCGTCGCGCTTAAGTTTTCCACCAAGAAGTTAGTCGATGCCCGCCCGCGCCTCGAGGTGGTCTTCCGTTTTCCGCGAAAAATTCCGCGACTCACACGCTCTTGTCTTCCGCAGATTCTGTGACGATAACCGGAATTAATGTTGAAGTACTTCAATGAGAACATATCCCTAGCGCTCCAGGAGAGGTACAGGGACCTCCATGAGTACCGGAAGGAGGTAGAGGACTCACCCAGAGAGGCCAAAGTTCCGAAAATTGCTGAGGAAGGGGAGAGCGTCGGCGGCGAAGGCGCTTTCGAATCGAGCGCCGAGCCGCCGTATCCTCGACTCCTGGAGGCGCCCAAAGAAGAAGACAACTTTGTAGCCAGCTGGCTGCAGAACTCCTTCAAGATGACCGCTGCTGAGGGGAACGAGGCATCCCCTGGGGGAAGTGCTTTGGACCTTCGAGCTGCTCCACTATCTTTACACATACCCGCGATACAAAGTGAAGCTCAGAGGTTTAAGATGCAGGACTTTTGGAACAGGAGTAGACCGACCTCTCCAGCACAAGAGGAGCAGCCGGGACCAGCTCCTCCGACCCCGCAGCCACCTCCTACACCGGACCACAAGATTATGACTGAAAAACTCGTTAGTGAAATTCAGGTGAGTCTTTATTTTATTTATGTGTTCAAGGTGAAGCTTTGATTTATAAACCAAACAAGGTCAGGGCAGCTGTAAAAAATAAGAAAATCGTTAAAATTTTGAAAGCAAACAGAAAAATTAAAGTAATGAAAAAATTAATCATTCTTAAATTATTATTAATTATTTATTAGGTGTCTTACAAAAAATAAAAATAAAAACACAATTAATTTCTTCAATGTTTGAATAGTATTAAAACAAATATTATTAATTCAAAAAATAGTAATTCTTCATGGTTTTATCATTAAGTAAAACATTAATAAATAAATAAAAAGTGTAAGAAAAAAAATTGTACACAACCTCAAAAAAAGTCAATCACTGAACTTGCATCTTAAGATTTTCAAACTTAAAATTCGAACGTCTTTCGTCTCCAAGTTATGCCGATAGACTGACCTCATGGGGATCCCACGGAACTCGTTCCAAATTTGAATGATCCTTGCTTCCTTAAAAAAAGACAAGACGCAACATATTGTAAAGCTTTTGTTAAAGGGTTAAGGGCCGGGCGTCAAACTTATTATTAAATCGTTTTTGTCCTTATGTCGCATCCGGTACCTACAAAGGATATGTAAATTACGATAATCAGTGATAATTCTATTATTTCTGTATTAGTATGTGATCAACATGTCAACGTTTTTCGGTTTTGAGCAAATGTTTGCTTTGGACATATGGCATGTCATGTTATACGGGATATTACGTTGTGTCCATAATTTACGAGACCGACACTAAATTTAATTAAAATTATGGCTTATTGTAATTATTGTAAATAGTATAAATTATTTAACGTTGAACTGAATTGTATTCGTGAATTCCCGTCTCTCAGGAACTAGAAAAAAATTGACCGGATATCGTTTAGAGCTGGGAAATTTCTTAATTCAAAATTATTTAAATTCCTTACAGTTGCGAACTTAGCATGATGAAAACCATTCCAAATTCAAAATGCCGCCAAGCAATGCATGTTCGAAATTAAAATTTGAAATTGAAGACAAAAGAATATTACTTTTTAAATTAGTTTCGGATTCGCTCACCTTGCATTTGTCAGATTCCCACGGCACCGCGGATTAGGGGCTCTTTGTGATTTTATTTTTTTTAATTTCTACATCGCGCATTGTTTCACGGAAGGGGTGTTGACAGTTATTTGTTACAGCGAATCTGTTCTCGTTTCGACATTTTTTTGTTTTTAAAAATTGTGTTTGAATAAGAACCGGTTTGTTTCCAGTTCGGATTTCGTATTCATCGATTTTTTTAGACAAAAATTTAACGGTTCGTCGCGGAGTTGCGCTTTTGTGGTCGGAGTTTTTTTCGTAGAACGCTTAATTAAAATTTGATTTATAGGAAAGCTTTATATGTCGCTTGAAGAGTTTGCTCTCAAAACATGTCATTTATATTTTTCTAAAGAAATGTTAAGTGCAATAAAATTTTAATTGGATTCGTAATTTTATAGATATTTTATTCGTATTCCAATTTATTTTTTAATACAATTTAATTAACGCAAGTTAAATATATTATTAAATTATACTAAATAATTATGTTTAGGTACTTGTGGTTTACTAAATATTCTACAGTGTCTTGGTCTATTTTGTTTTGTCAATACTGGCTTTTAAGGCTGATAAAACACAATGAATATCAAGTATAAATTTAAATAGCTCACTTGTTATAATTAACATAATCTTGGCATCATCTAAATCATAATCTATCATCCCTTTCTTTCATGTCTCTCCATCATCAATACGGAACAGCAACAACAGTCACCATCAGCGGACTCCACGATGAGTGAAAGATCACTTGTGCCATTTGCGCTGGTAAATTTACTGTCTTCACTCAATAATGTCGATGTAAATACTATTTCTCTATGGTCTGCTGGTTTTCCATGGCTTGAACGCATGCTTTTATGCTTTTTTTCTCTTTCTTTCTTTTTATATTATTGATCTACAATGTATCTTCTTCAATTAGTACAACACATTACTTTTGACGGTTCAATACGCGAAATAAATATATAATTTAACTTTTTTAACATTACCAAATGTTTTGGTCGCTTTTGTAGACGTCGTGATGGGCGGACAGAATTTGCGTCTTGAACAGTTCAGAATATTTTATTTAGCGAATATCGCTAGTTTGTATTAAACCTATATACTTATGTACTTACACTACTGTACTATATAGTAGTGTAGTACAGTAATATATGTATAGTACAGCTACATACATATATTTTAACACGAGTTCGGTTGTACAGATGTTAATTTATAAAGTTTAAAAATCGAATGAATAGTTGTTGGCAATATTTGACTTTGTTTTTACTATAAAAAATAGCGCTCTCTACTAATATATTCAGAGTTAGCACGCTGATGTATTTTAGCTTGTATTATTAATATTTTTGGCTTATTTAGAAAGAAATTAGGTGAATTTAGTTGCACTTCTACTTTGTCTTATAATAATACTAGAGATATTTCTCGATTGATTTTGTACGATTATTAAATTCGAGGGGTTAAATAATAGTAAAAAGTCTTATATAGAACTTCTTACGCTCATAAAAATAACCACTTTATCCTGCAATATCAATCGAGAATCGGCCTGTTCAATCAATTAATCTGAAAATTTGTGATTTATTTAATAATGTCGGTTTTGTTCCACGCAGCCTCAGCACTCGCCCACAGGGGAAGCCCCGGTCGGCGATCGCAACACAATGTTGCCCTTCGCATTGGTAAATTTCCTGAATAGCCTGAATATCGATGTAATTATTTTTTACTTTTCGTCTTCACATGGCAACTCATTCAACAGTAAATAAAAAAAGCACGAATTATACTAGCGCGCAGCGGGTTCCGTATAGCTAAACATCACATGTCTGTAGTTTACGAGAGTATTACTTTAAAATAAAACACTCTTAACGGTTTAAAACGCGAAATTTATTTACAACGTCGGGCCGTAGTTTTTTATTTGCAAGTTCAACTAAAACATTTCATGTTTTAAACCGATAAACGTATTTTATTTAAATTAAAATATCATTTTTAGCTTGTATCTAGTGTGTTATGTTATTTTAATTATTTTTAAAATAACAATATACAATCATTGAATCGAATTTACTCGTAGGATTGATTAGATACAATACAAAGACGGATTGATATTCGAAGAGCAGATATAAGTGCCTACGGAACCCTAAAAAAATATATTTATACTCTTTATATTATTTTTGAACGCCTGAATGAGTTACCAATTGCTTGCAGTAAGCTATGAAGATGTCTGAACATTACCTACTTACCATACTTCTACATACAATTTCTATGTAGAATTTTATCATTTTATAGTTTAATGCAACGCTATCTTCTTCCCATTCAAATCATAATATATTTAGCAATCACTCATTTTATCTGACTGTTTTAAATATTAACTTAGCTTGGGTTTACTCTTCATTGTGCCCTGGTAGGTATTTGCTTTTTGTTTGGCTTCACATGTGTGTTGTTGGTGTTTTTAATAGTTAATAACATTTTTACACTGTTTAGATATAGATTAAATTGGCAATCTTTATAACGCTGCTCTTACGGCTGGCAATAAATATAATAATTTTAAAACTTTTGAAAGGAGCTTCTAGTCACAGGTTTTTAGATAGTTTTTATAAAGACAGACTTTAACGGTTTAAAACGTGATATATATTAGATTTGAAAATTATTTTAACAACGGCCCGACGTTTCGGATGTTTCGCAGTAGCCGTTGTCACGGGGAGAGAGGTTTCAAACCGTTAAAGTGTATTTTTAATGTGCGCTACTCGCGTAAACAATCCTAAGTTTTTCGTTTTTACAAGTTCATAAGTTAGGAGTAGAAGCAGACGAGCAATACGATATATATAAGGATTAATACTATATTATTTAAAAATCGAAAATAAATTGAGTCCCACAACTCAGTAGCTCAACTACAAAGCTAACATTACGGAACCGCGACGATGCCGGTTCAAGTCCTGTCCCAGTCGAAAATTATTTCAATTTATTTTCGATTTCTAAACATGTGAAAAATATTAACGTTTTCAAACTCTTAATATTCTCTCTACAGCAACAGGCGAGATCCGGGCAGAGCATCAGCGAGAGAACCCTGGAAGAATGCTGGTCAACGCTACAACGAGTGAGTTGGCACCTGTTTCAATGCGTATCGTTATCTTCCAATCAAAACCTCCTTGGTATAAAACTAGAATCACACTACTGAACTATTAAATTCATAAAAAGAAAACATTTAAAAAACGAACTACCTTCAATTCGTGCTAGATAGATTCTAGTTACATACCGAGGACGTTGTGCAGCGGTAGCTATGTTGAATAAACGTACTTTTAATCTGTTTATTTAAGTTTCAATCTCCAAATGCCTTTGCTCCTGTTTTACCTACTATAATATTCTTAAATAAATAAAAAAATAATTATATATTAGTCATTTTTTTGGATTTTTAGTGTATTTTTGTGTGTCAGTCAGCGTTTGACATAGCTACCAAAACATCACGCAAAACATGGGGTATTGGTCTTACCAATATTCTTAATTATATTAGTTACATTTTAATGAAGCTCCATTATTTAATGCTAAGATTTTACGCGCTTTAAAAGACATAGGAAGTCCGATATAATCTATGCAGCGGGTGGCTACAAAAATCTATGGAGCGATATCTAGGCACAATCTATAGTATTCATTTAAACCTTTTCACATAGATAGCGCGATAGCGCCTTAGGCGTAAATTTATTTCGATCGAGATTCGCGCTATTTCGCGCAGATGTGTACAAGGTGGCGAGGAAGTGTGGCATCTGCGTATTATCGAGTTTTTTGAATTATTGCATTGTCAAAGTACATTGATATTGTATCCGGGAAATTTTGGCGGTCGCGGCCCGTCAGTTACTTGTTTAAATAATTTTATATGAAGACTTTATTTGCAACGTGTGCAAGTTCGTAAATGAGTTCGAAATTTAAATTGTCTTCAACTGTAAAACATCTTTTTTTTCTATATTTAAGGTCTAGAACCATTTTTACTGCTAACAAAAAAAAAAATCAGTTATCTAATTTTACTGTTATGCAACACAGACAAGATAAACTCCAAATTGTTCCCTTTTCCGTTATTTTGTTATATAGATACTGACATTTAAAATAATCTGCCTCGAACAGTATGACATTCTTAATCCGTTTATTAAAAATTATGCGTTTTAAACCGTGGGAAGAGGCAAACAACTACTATGATAGTATATACCTACAAATATATATCGCGTTCTAAACGTTAAAGTGTTTTATTTAAACGTAAACTACAGACAGTGTGTAAATAAGAATTTGAAGACTAAATTGAATTACAGAATTCATTATTTCTGTTACTAGAATGTGCGAAGCGGGACGTCTCTCTATCAAAGCCTCCACCGAAACGAACGATAGTATCTCGTATAAAAAATTGTGTCTCGTTTTATTACACCATTTATAAGCAACAGAGCGCCGTTTACATTTATTACATTGTACAAGGAACAAGCACAGGTGCATGAAAAACGTTCCACGTCGGACGTTGAGCGGAACTTGGCAAAATAAAAACTGAACCATACCGAGAAGGTACTTGATACTTTTGTACTTGCGCCGCGGACAAACCCATGGAGCTGACTTATCACGCGTTTAAAAAATATTCATTCGAGAATGCAGGCAACAAACAGAAATATCACAGTAACATATTATAAGGATTTGAAAACTTAGAATATCGAGGTTTAAGGATTACTTACACGTCGGGCCGATGTTAAAAATCATTTTCAAATGTTGTTGAACTAATATATCGCGTTTGAAACCGTTAAAGTGTATTACTTAAACTTTCGGTATTATTAAAAACATGCATAGGTCCTGTAAATGCTAAAATGTTATGTAATAATGTATGTAAGAAATGTGAACGTCTCCACGGCTTTTGTTCCACAGCACTTGATACGTGTTGTCGAAAAAAACTCGCATTTGCATGTCGATCCCCAATGAATTTATCGTTATTGTTAAAAGATTTATTATCATTCTCGAAAGAAAAATAATCACAAAATCGGCCGCGTATTTAAAATTCAAATTTCGATTGTTTTGTTCCGATATTGAGACACTTTTGACGTTCCCGTGCGTTTTTCTTTTGTTTTTCGTGTGTTCGTTTGTTTTTCTTTCGCATTGAATCACTACGCCGTGCGTCATGTTATAATTCAGGTATTCCTTTGAACTTTTATAATTTATTCGTTACATTTCGCATATTTTAAACTATCGTACGCATTATCCACAAATTATATTACGACTCGATAGTCAAGTAGTTAACTATAAGGACGTCCAGGCTCCAATTATTGCATCGAAGAAAATACTTGTTTTAAAGTTAAAAAAAAAAAAACAAATATACTGATTTGTTTTTTTTTTAATTTACTAGCCAGCTTTTTATTAGAAGTTTTAATGGTGTAATGTCCTATTATCACCCCGGTGCTTTGGAAATGTAAGCGTGGGTCGCGCCACTGATTCACCCTGGTGGCTCGAAGATCTTTAAACCTTCTCTACAATTGTGCGACATTTATGGGTTCAAGCAGGCACGTTAATGTATGGCTAATTCGGCCCGCCGGATTTAATATGTTTCTAATAAATTTATAATTTTCCTGAAACACTGAACTTCATCCGGAAATCTAGATATTAAATTGGATCGTCCGGATCACGAACCATCGTGCACAGATGAAAAACCCGTCAAATTTAATCGCGTTTCGGTTTCACTCTTTGGATATCCGAATATCCAAAGCAAAGTTCGTTAGGGCATCTTGTTGAGATGTTATATAGATGGGGTGATTCACGTACCATCTAGTGAATCGCATGCTTATCTCTCCTCTCATAAAAACATAGTTATAGTGCATTTAAAAAGTATATTTTACACATTATGTTAGTATTTAGCGATACGAACTGCTCGTCTAATGAATGATACTAAAAAACCCTATCTTATAAAAGCTATTAACTTTAAAAGCGCCATTAAGCTTTTTTAACCGTTCTCCTGGACAATTTTACCCCCGGTCACTCTTCATAATTACCACCGCGATCGCGACAAGATGTAGCAGTCAAACTCATTTTAGAATCTAATTTTGCATACTCCGTTCCGCTTTTTATTCTTATAATTTTCTTAAAAATCTCGATATCAATTAAACTGATTTATGTATCAATTTAAACCGTTACAGGTGTTTTATTCACAACCTTCTTATTATAACTATTTTATTTTGCTTTTTACTCGAAGGTATAGAGTTACAAATAAGACGTCTAGTTAATTACACTTAACAAAATTAAAAAATTTAATAAAACGTAATAGATGGTATATACGTATCTTTTAAACGATGTGGACCTAAATTTTTATAATATAATAACAAAAAAATATGTGAAACTACTATTAAATTTATCTAGAATGTTTTGCATAAATTTAAATTTCCTATATTAATAGACGCAATTTATTAAATATTCTTATAATTTAAAAATTTATTTTGTATCGATGGTATAATGGTTGTTATCGGGTTCGAATCCCAGGGAATCGATCTCTTTTGGTCGCTTTAGGCACTGTGATCACTGTACGTTTTCAAGATTGTTTATTATAATGTAAATATATTTACTAATATTAATAATATATGAAAATTGTATCTGTATCCATTAGGTATAAAAACTTAGTTCTCTGTTTAGTTCGTTAAAGTGGCTTTAGTTTAAATATTCAAACGGGCGCAGGTGGCCAAAAAAACAGTTTTTTATGTGCAATAAGAAAGTTTTCAAATAATGTCCTTCGCCAGAACATCACCGCTAATTGCTTAATAAATTTCCAAGTTTCGCCAAAAAACTCTTCCCCAATATGAGTTATGGCGCGAAAAAACCCTTTCGTCGAGAAAAAGTGTGGCTTTAATGAGATCGCTTTTCTTCGCTATCGTTTTGCGTATTTTTTCGTATACATTATAAAAGTTATATTTATAGCAATAAAATAAAACACCTTTAATGTTTCAAAACACAATATATATTAGTTAACTTATTTTTAATTTATTTTTACTACGTCTCGATGTTTCAAATGCTTTGCATTAGCCGTGGTTCCAAACCGCGGGTCATTGTTAAGTTACTTTCTAAAACAACTAATATATTTCACGTTTGAAACGGTTTTTTAAATAGTATAGCTTAGTGGATGATATCTGATTTTCTCCACTACACGTATGCGCCACAAAAATCGTCTTATTGACAACACGGGCGAGCATTGAATCGGAGTCCACAACGTCGCATACCGCTTTTCTCAGAGGTTAGCTCAATTGGTTTGAGCAAGCGTGTATTTAAATGTGTACTACTCGCGTTAACTAAAGACAGTATTTAACTTTCATATATTCAATGTCTTAACCTCAATCAAAAATACATAAAAAATATGGCAGTACACTTGTGTATGTTTGGCATATTTTTTTTGAACCTCCATTTTGTACTTGACATTTAAATCACAGGTTACCTAAAAGTCAAATCCTTACTAATATTATAAATGCGAAAGGAACCGCTCCTTCCGCCACCGCTGAAATTTGGTACACATAGGTCTAGACCCTGAGAAAAGCCATTTTTATTATGAAAAGGCGGTTGCAAGGTTAAAAGTTTGTATGGAAATTCGTGGTTTTTAAAGCCAGAACAATGAAACTTTTTTCTTTGGCTCTTGAGGAATAGGAATGGGAGTGAGAGTGGGAAAGGCGTGGGAGTGGAAGTGGGATTTAGAGTAGGAGTAATGTGCGGTGAGAGTGTTGCGGCAAAGTAGCACTTACAACATAGATTGGCTGCGATAAATGCGCAATTACATAAATTAATAAACAGCCTAAATAATTAAAAATTCTACCCCATCACTATTAGAGTCACTATTCCACGCGAACGAAGTCGCGGGCATAGCTAGTTAACGTATAAAAACGTGATATATAAAAATTACAACCCTAATAAGCACTCTTAACAATTCGACGAAAGCTAATGAATACTAAGTGGTTGTTACAAAGGGCACAATTAAAAAAGCGCGAACATGACAGAAAGCGTTTAAGGTTAAAATGATCACAAACACTACAAATTGTCGTAACAGAAGCGCCCCCTGGACGGAATAAGAGAAAAACAGGAAAAATTAGATTCCTTCAATGTACTGCGACGTTAAAAACATGGTACTAGTAAGTTTTTTAGCTGCATAATTCTTGAATGGTTGAAATTAACCTAGTAGTGCACATT